CTTTTGATAATTATCACTGTTTTTCTGTTTGTATATGTCATTTACTATCGCGTTGTTTCTTCTCAGCAATTTTTGTGTTGGGGCCATTCGTATCGTTTTGTACGTAGATCTGTCGTTCAATAGATCTTTCCTTTTCTCTTTATATTCTGTTTTGTCCATCATCACCGTTTTATTTCCCTTATCCGCATTTGTAATTACTATAGCGTCCCTATGCTGATTTATAAACTGTTTTGTGTCCTCAAATATTCTAAGTATGAATTTTTCTTTTTTATTACTTTTAAATTTGTTTTTGAATGCGTTAATGCTAGTGGCTATATATCATCTTGCAGTGTCTTTTTCCCTGTCTTCCTCTAAAGTCACTATTTTCCATTGCATGCGGATTGCATGATAAATGCCAAATTTCTGCCGATGATCTACTGAGAAAAACATAAGTATTACATAATCCGATTCCTTTTTCAATTTTTTTTTATACATGGTGAACGATAGCTTGTTTTTGTAAATGTTGGGCTTCCACTTCTTTGAGATTAGCCGGTTATGAGCGAATTTGATATACAATTTAAAGCATGTAAAGCCGACTTTGATAAAATTACTAAGCGAATTTTGCAAAATAAACCATTGTCTACGAATGCGAAAAAGTTAAACGAGTATAAATATTCGCTTATTACAGCCTACAATAATATTTTACTACTAGTTATTGCCAATAGTTCGGCTCATACCTGTAATCTCAAGGAAGTTCAAGAAAAGTTAGCCCGTTGTAAGGCACAGTTAGCAAAGTGCTTTACTGAACTGAATTGTCGCGTTAGGATTCCACCTGATAGCTTATCGCTAATTTGTCAATCAGACTTAGCTGACTCTGAGTCAGAAGAAGAATTTAGTGACGCCAAGTCAGAAGCTTCGGTACAATGCAGTCTTGAAAGAAGTACTTCACTTCCATCTTTTAAAGATCTGCTAACTGTATCCAACGAGTCGTCAACTGCTACCAGTTCACCAAATATTTCGACAATTTTTAAAGAATTCCTAGACATGGCTACCCCTGAACAGAAGAAATCCTTTATAAGTCCTTTATGTGTCTTTTCGAGATAATTACAACGGCGCACAGTGGGGTAATCGACCCTGAAAGTGGAGATAAATTCATACGTACATTTAATTTAAAATATTTTTATGTATTTGTATAGCTAGCACCAAATGAAGTAAAAAAAAAGCAAATCGGAAAATAGTTTAGAGGACTTCTTTTTACGTAGGTTTTTAAGGCGTTACCAAAGAGCGAGAAAAGTTAAAATTTAGTTTTTACTCCCATAAATATTTTTTATTGTTTATGATAATTTGTTAAAATCGTAATCATCATTAATTACAAGTTAAACTCCTCTTCTATCATTATAATAATTATCCTCATCATTATCTTCATTACTATTTTCACCATCAACATCACCCACATCATCACCTTTTTAGGTAATTTTTTTATATGATAACTAGCTGTACCCTGCCACGCTTTGCTGTGGCATATCCCTGTTACATGGATGAAATGATTAACGAAACAAAGTATACGTTNCGACTTTGATAAAATTACTAAGCGAATTTTGCAAAATAAACCATTGTCTACGAATGCGAAAAAGTTAAACGAGTATAAATATTCGCTTATTACAGCCTACAATAATATTTTACTACTAGTTATTGCCAATAGTTCGGCTCATACCTGTAATCTCAAGGAAGTTCAAGAAAAGTTAGCCCGTTGTAAGGCACAGTTAGCAAAGTGCTTTACTGAACTGAATTGTCGCGTTAGGATTCCACCTGATAGCTTATCGCTAATTTGTCAATCAGACTTAGCTGACTCTGAGTCAGAAGAAGAATTTAGTGACGCCAAGTCAGAAGCTTCGGTACAATGCAGTCTTGAAAGAAGTACTTCACTTCCATCTTTTAAAGATCTGCTAACTGTATCCAACGAGTCGTCAACTGCTACCAGTTCACCAAATATGTCGACAATTTTTAAAGAATTCCTAGACATGGCTACCCCTGAACAGAAGAAATCCTTTATAAGTCCTTTATGTGTCTTTTCGAGATAATTACAACGGCGCACAGTGGGGTAATCGACCCTGAAAGTGGAGATAAATTCATACGTACATTTAATTTAAAATATTTTTATGTATTTGTATAGCTAGCACCAAATGAAGTAAAAAAAAAGCAAATCGGAAAATAGTTTAGAGGACTTCTTTTTACGTAGGTTTTTAAGGCGTTACCAAAGAGCGAGAAAAGTTAAAATTTAGTTTTTACTCCCATAAATATTTTTTATTGTTTATGATAATTTGTTAAAATCGTAATCATCATTAATTACAAGTTAAACTCCTCTTCTATCATTATAATAATTATCCTCATCATTATCTTCATTACTATTTTCACCATCAACATCACCCACATCATCACCTTTTTAGGTAATTTTTTTATATGATAACTAGCTGTACCCTGCCACGCTTTGCTGTGGCATATCCCTGTTACATGGATGAAATGATTAACGAAACAAAGTATACGTTTCATATAAGTTTGATTTGCAATTCTTGTGTGTACACAATATTTTTCGTTTTTCTATTCTCTAAACCTAAGCCACACTTTTCCGAAGATTGTCCATGAGCTTTATTAATTGTGATTGCGATCGCCAATCGAATTGGGCATTGAAATCTTTTAAACTGAAATGGTATATCGGTCGGAATCATGGGAATCCGAGGGATGAGGACGTCTTCACCTTTGAAAGGCCACGTTAAAGTCTTTGCTTCCACTTCGTTCTTCATCAATTTCTTAACTGCGAGTCGCCTGCCGATTCAGAGTTTTGGCTCATTAATATTCCGCAACATGATAATTGCCACACCTTTTTTCAATTTCAGTATAAGGGGTAACCTCTGGAAGATCAATGGAGTTCAAAAATTCCGTTTGATAATTAACTGCTTCATTTGCTTCCACAACGGTGTTTATCGACGTACATTTTTGTTATTTCAACATTTTGAATGTTAGATTGAAAAACATTATTGAGTTGATAGACATCCTTATTCTTCTTAAGAATACCTCCTTCACTGAGCCAATCGTGATTCCTATAATTAACTTGATTATCCGAAAGCATTCTTTCAATCTGTTCTCCTCAAGCGATTTTTTATGTGCCATAGTGCACACATCCCAAACAATGAATTACATTTTTGTAATAAGTACTTCTCCCGTACTGGATGTTCTTGAAATATTGCACGTGGGAGTTTCGATGATTTGTGTATTCAATGGCAGCATAAGAGCTAAATGAGAAGTGCTTCTACCAGGTAATTATGCCGCAGATATTCCAGACGAACCGAGAGCTTCGGCTATGTAATTTTTTCATCTAACCGTTGCCACAATCTTATAAGGAATGTTTTCCTAGTTCCTTTGCACATCCAAGAAGAAGTTCCCACAACTGCGTCATTTATCATTTGCATCTGCTTATTTGGCGCTGTAACCGAATAAGCGATTTCGGCCGAGTTCGACAAAGCACGCCAGTCGTTTCTCTCTGTGCCAACTTACGCCAATCGGAAATGCCACTTGAAGCCAAGTCCATATCCACTTGGTCCCTCCACCACCAGCGGATTGCGAGTCGAATACTTTTAGACCTGGAACGTCGGTTCCCATTCGAACGACATGGCCAAGCCAGCGGAGCTGCTGTAAATCTCATACAACTCATCGTTCCATCGTCTGCGTTACACACCGTCGCCAAAGCGTAGGGGCCTGTAAATCTTCCGTAAGATCGTTCTCTCCAATACTCCAAGAGTCGCCCCATCAGATGATGTCCGCGTGACTTATAGAGTTTGATCTTTGTACGACGAGAGAGAACTTTACTCCCGAATTGCCTACTCAGTCCAAAGTAGCACTTGCTCGCTAGAGTAGTTCTGCGTTGGATTTCGATGCCGACATTATTATGGGTGTTATGCTGGTTCCTAACTAAACAAAATTGTCTAATTTCTCGAAATTACAACTGGCAAAAGTGACGTGGGTGCCAAGGCGCGAATGCTCTGACTCTTTGTTTGATGACAGGAGCTACTTCGTCTTGTACTCGTTGATCACCAGACCCAATCACTTTGCTTCGTTATCCAACTTGGAAAAGGCAGGACGGAGTTCGAGGTTTTTATTACCGATAATGTCGATGTCAACGGCATACGCCAGAATTTACACGCCCTTGTAAAAAATTGTTCGTGAGTGGTTCAGTTCTGCAGCTCTTATTATCTTAATATTTGCATCATGCGATCATAAAAATGCGAAGCAGCTCATCTAATTTAGCAGAAAAAATTCTGGAAAATGTAGTATTTTTAGGTAGATGTGTATTAAACTAAGGTAGATTCTTGATAATTTAAAGTTGGAAAAACTCAAAGCTCAAGCAGGCACATTCTTTCTACTCGCAATATATGGCGACCCCAAATGAAATTATTTATGATTAAAAGTTAACAGTTTTATAGTGTTAGGGAATGGTGACTACAATTTTAAATTTTCATTCAGGACTTTTTAAACAGCTTTCATGGGATACTTTTATCTTTTCGTTACGGTTTTTATTATTTTTTCACTTGTGTCAGTAGTTTTTTATATATTTTTTTCATTGCAAAGTTTGTATATCAACACTTCGTTGATAATATGATCACTTGGTTTGGCACGATTTTGTAAACTCTTTCTTCATTTAAATTGTTCATCTTTTGGATAAGTGGAAAATTAAAAAAAAAAAGTTATCTAGCCCTAGAACACACACCCGGGTACAAATGTATCCACTTTCAACTTTGAAGTGTTGTAACTTTTGAACCGCTATACCTCTATACCGCTTCGGATCTAGGAAGATTATTTAGTTTTGAGTTCAAATTCAAAATTTGAACCAGATCGGACCATTGGTTCAGGAGCTACAGCCTTCCAAACACATTATATACGTAAACACACACCCGGGATACGTTTGTACCCCAATAGTAAAAATCCTCATAATAATAAAAAAAAAACATTTTTTATATTATTTTTTTATTTGAAAAATTAAAAATATTCATTTCACACATTATATTATTGACTTTTATTATAAAAATTATAAAAATGCATCTTATATCTAAGGAAAATCATGGCAAATAGAGCAATTTGTTGATGTGACCGAATGTTCAAGACACATTGGCTTCTTACATTTGTCGCACAGCTTTCTGGTTTTTCTACGGCGTTTTTCCTCTTGTGCGTAACATAAATAGCAAGATCCGGACACAGGTTTTGGCGTGCGCGCTGCGGCAGATGTTGATGCTGCTGTTGACACCATTGATTCCACCGGTCGGTTGAAATATGCTTCAATAGCAATTTTAGTCGAAAAATTTCGCGTCACTTGACGATTTATGGCTCTGGCTTCAATAATGGGCATACACAATGCTTCAGCCAAGCTGCGCAGGATCTGCTTACGCTTGTTGTTTGTTCTCCAAGGCAACATAGGGTTATTCAAATCGTAGACAATGTAGGCTGCAAGAGCTGTAATGTCCAACATGTTGAAGAACATCGCTAGTGGCCATCGTTTTGTTTGTCTTTGTGTTGGATATTCCGCAAACATTTGGTCCATTCGATCAACACCACCTTTGGTACGATTATAATATTCAATTATTTCAGGTTTCCCACTGTCAGCTATTTCAGCATCATTATGCATGGTCGAAAGCAAAATTACTGCTTTATTTTTTTTGGGAACATAAGAGCACATTGTCACATTATTTTTGAAGCCAAATGTCGTTGAACCAATTGTCCTGTTTTTGTTCTGCTTCATTTCTTGAGGAATATATGATTTGTTTTTGCNCCTTGCGCGACCTTTTTGCACATATCTTTTGAACCAGGTAGAATATTTCAATGAAATAAAAACCAAAATGTGTATTCGTTGTTACTCTACAAGTATATTATTATAAATTATATTATTTTGTTTTGCATTTATCAGGACAACAACAAAAACAAAAATCCACTGTTGCATGTCCTGACTTTATTTGCCCATATCGCTGGAACCAGTAGGAATATTCGAATGAAACAAAAGACAAAATACTTGTTATATATTAAAATATACATTTCAAAAAAAAATCATAGAAATCGGTTGAATAAGCATTAAAAAAACCGCAAAATAAGGTCCCGGGTACAAACGTATCCCGGGTGGGTGTTTACGTGGTATTTTCTGGGTGTGTGTTCTAGGGCTAGTGAAGCTTTCCCTAACAATTTTCGTTTAGAACCAATTATGTAATATTTCATTTAGTTCCAATATTTGCAGTCTTTACTTTTAGATATGGCATATTCCTACTGAAAATTTTTCTCAAATGCCTTTAGTTTTGTACCGATATTGTAACATTTCATTTATTTTACCAATTTAATTGAGTTAAATTTTCAAACAGGTGGCAACCCTGCTCAAACATATTTTTGGCTGTAAGTGTTCTTAAAAATCTAAGGTTTGATACCCAAATTGAGGTATTTCATTTATTTTACCAATTTAATTGAGTTAAATTTTCAAACAGGTGGCAACCCTGCTCAAACATATTTTTGGCTGTAAGTGTTCTTAAAAATCTAAGGTTTGATACCCAAATTGAGGTATTTCATTTATTTTATCAATTTCACTGAGTTAAAGGTGGCAATTCTACTCAAAAATATTTCCAGCAGGTATCTTTCTTAAACCTCTTAAATTTAATATCTATATTGTAATATGTCATTTAGTCTATCAATTAAATTGCGCTAAAATTTTCAACAGGTGGCAACCCTCCTTTCAAATATTTTCGACTGTAAGCTTTCTTAAAACTCTTTAGTTTCATATCCACATAGCAATATTTCATTTAATTTATCAATTTAACTCAGTTAAAATTTAAAAATAGGTGGCAACCATACCACCCATACCAATACTGTAATCATTCATTTATTTTATCATGGATCCTGGTATTATACCGAACAATACAAAAAAAAAATATTTAGATCGGTTCAGCCGTTCTCGAGTTTTGACGACCGTGACATACGAACATAACATTTTCATATATATAGATAGATAGATACAGACTCCTAAATCAAGATTACTCAAATACCTTTAGTTTGGTACCGATATTGTAACATTTCATTTATTTTACCAATTTAATTGAGTAAAATTTTCAAACAGGTGGCACCCCTCCTCAAACATATTTTCTACTGTAGGTCTTTTAAAAGCTCTTTAATTTGCTGCCTACATTGCAATATTTAATTTGTTTATCAATTTAACTGAGTTAAAATTTGCAAATAGGTGGCAACGCTCCTCAAAAGTATTTCCAAAAGTCTTCTTTCTTAAACCTCTTTAATTTGATACCTATATCAACTAAATTGAGTTAAATTTTCAAACAGGTGGCAACCCTCCTAAAACATATTTTCGTCTGTAAGCCTTCATAAAAATCTAACGCTTGATACCCAAGCTACCGTATTTCATTTAATTTATCAAAATAACTGAGTTTAAATTTTCAAAGATGTCGCAATTTAACACAAAAACATTTCCAGCAGTTATCTTTCTTAAAACTCTTAAATTTAATATCTACATATATTGTAATATATCATTTAGTTTATCAATTATATCGCACTAAACTTTTTAAGAGGCTGAACCCTTCTTTAAAATATTTTCGACTGTAAGCCTTCTTAAAACTCTTCAGTTTGATACCTACATAGCAATATTTCATTTACTTTATCAATTTAACTGAGTTAAAATTTTGAAATTAGTGGCAACCCTTCTCAAAAATATTTCCAACAGTTATCATTCTTAACCCTCTTTAATTTGATACCAATATTGTAATATTTCATTTATTTTATCAGTGTAATTTAGTTAAACTTTCAAACAGGTGGCAACCCTAATCACACATATTTTCGGCTGTAAGCCTTCTTAAACTCTTCAATTTGATACCCACATTGCAATATTTCATTTACTTAATCAACTTAACTGAGTTAAAATTTTTAAATAGGTGGCAACCCTCATCAAAAATACTTCCAGCAGTTATCTTTATTAAACCTCTTTAATTCGATGCCCATATTGTCATAATTTATTTATTTTATCAATATAATTGGGTTTAAAAATTTTCAAATAGGTGGCAACCGTCCAATTTTTTGCGGTATCATTGGTTCTGGTATTATACCGAACAAAAAAAAAAAAATTATTAAAATCGGTTCAGCCGTTCTCGAGTTTTGACGACCGTGACATACGAACACAACATTTTTATTAATATAGATGAATACGAATTGTACAAATTTTCTCTTCAACAAATATCTACATGTTTTTGTTAAGCCTAGAAAGCAATTAAGAATATATAACCTTTAATAAAAATAATCATCATCTTCGCTGGCGTCATTGTCATCACTATCAACATCTTCATCATCGCTATAAGGCTGCATAATTAACAACTGTTGTGCTTCTTTCGGCAAATCCTGCAATTTTTTTTGGGGTAGTTTCCTCATACTTGATACAACAGGGTCGGAACTAATCAAAAGTCTATTGAATACATCTTCATTCGTGTTTTTTCTGTTGGACTTGCGAGAAAAATGTTCTCTGTAGCTCTTAAAATCTTTTTCGCGCCTCTAGAGCTTCTTTTGACAATTGACGTTTATTTTTTATTTTTATTTTGAACACGGAAAACCTGTAGAGGACTCAAGCCAACTTTTGTTTGCTTTAACAAACCGTTCTTCGTGTCTACAGGACCTATTTCAACGAATTTTGAACTCAGAAATGAAATATCTCATCTTTTCATTCAACTCTTTTAAATTTTCATCAGACGGCCTGATGCGGTCTTTCATTATCCCCGTTAAAACCTTAAATTTATCATTGAATTTCATAAAGGCTTTGACGAGTAACCCATATGATATTAGAGCTCGTTCCTATAAAGAAAATAATAATATAATTACATATTAGTTAAAAATAGCACCACTATCATTATTTCTATTCCCTGCACATGACATTCATGCATAGAAATAGCAACACTATAAACAATAACAAAGATTATAATTAACACTAAAAATATGCATCATGTACCATTCTTTACGGTTTCACATATACCCTATAAATCATTAGACAAATAAATTACGTCATTCTAAGCTATTATTGTAAAATTTAATAGACCCAAATTTTATTTTATGAGTCTAAGCAGATATGTACATAAATGTATACATACTTTCTTTGATACATGCAAGTACTAAAAGTTTCGCCTTTGAAACAAAACAGTAGGTATTTAGCCTACTTTTGATAATAGACGTATGTACATACCTAATAGTTATTACGTATGTAGGGTATAAAAAAACAGTAATTGAGCAAACAACGAACGTGGACAATAACAATATTACTTTTTTGTATGCTTTGTACTTAACTTTCACTTGTTATATTTGGTTTTGTTCTTCATCGAGAATTTCATGTATATTTCACCAACGAGGTTATATTATATAAATCGATATACTGAAAAAGTGCGCAGACATGCCGCAACTTTTTTTTTTACAGAATGACACTGTACCGTCCAAGGTATATGCAAATGATTACACTTATGCTTGATCGTACCTACTTCTCAACTATGTCTACGTATATAGCCGAAACCCCTTATTTTTACGCTTACGATAAAAAAATAAAATAAAATACTTAGAACCATAGTAAAAGAAAACTAAAATCACTTTGTATTGCCTAAATACCTGAACAGGTTTCATTGCCGTTTTTGATGTATCTTTAAAGAAAACTCAGATATAGCTTGGAAATTTGAAATATTAAATCACGTTTTTCACTTTGCGCTCACTCAAAGGAAAAAGTCACGACTTTGTGAGTATATTGCAAGAAGACGATAAATGGGCAAATATTTGATTACATAGTGATGTAGAATTTTATCTACTTTCATTTGGTACTAAATTAATTCGCAATATTGACATCAATTACCCCACTGTGCGGCGATCCGCTAGCACTTGAATCGTTTATTGATCAAATTAATTTAATTGAAGATTTTGCAGACGAAAATTTAAATACAACTTTTATATCATTTTTGAAATCGAAGCTCGAGGGCAAGGCACGCGAAGCAATTCCAGCCGAAGTTAATTCTGTTAGACAAATCAAACATGCGTTGAGAAATAAAATAAAGCCAGACAACTCGAAAGTTGTAGCTGGGAAAATTGCATCTTTACATGGCATAAACAACAATTATATGGAATTTGCTTAGCGTGTCGAGGAGCTTTCGGATGTATTAGAGCGTTCTTTGATCATTGAAGGTATGACACAATCTAAGGCCCATGAAATGGCAGACGGGCAAAAGCACAGAATAAACAGTATACAGAAGACGCACCACATACAAATTTATTTTTCTTCGGCGGACGTAATATTACAAGCCAACCCAGAGCAGACCACTAAGAATAACATGGCGACCCGGAACAGAGCAGAGGAGTTAACATCACGTCCACTATGAATGACATAAGGTTAACATCTCGTCACAAACACACATCGTGATCAGCGTTGCCGCGAGCTTGAAAAAAAATGTATCAGTTGCCAAGCAGAAAAAGTATCAAAAGCAAACAAAACTGTTGTTTGTTGAACTATTATTTAAAAAACAAATAATAAATAAATAAAATTTTATAACTAAATCCGCTGTGGTGTAGTGGTAAGCAGTGCGCGCTTTCACTCATCAGCACCTGGGTTCAAACCCTGGTCAAAGCAACATCGCAAAAAATATAGAAAAAGGTTTTTTCTTAACAGCGGTTNGAACTATTATTTAAAAAACAAATAATAAATAAATAAAATTTTATAACTAAATCCGCTGTGGTGTAGTGGTAAGCAGTGCGCGCTTTCACTC